AATTTATTCTTAATCATGATTAAGAACCTCCCACTGTGCCTATTTAATCATTTTCAAGATGTTTAAAACCATCCTACTGTGACTTTCGGAGCACTATTTTGTTAAGATGAGATTCAATGACTTCATCGGGTCAATCTTTCCTCACGAAACTCCCACTGAGTAATTGTGGAGTGCTTAATAATTCACGGTCCTCCATCACAAAATCTCTCAGTGATCAAATTAATTGACGGTGGGTCCACCAAAATTCTTCACGGTTGAATCCATTCAAACTCCTACTGTGTCTAAGCCTTTAACATCCCCACTGTTAAAGTCCTGACACGACATCCAAAATTTCAATCAGCTGATCCATAGCGATGATCAAACCCCTTCGTGTTAAGTCCTTATCGCTTGACACCAAAAACTCCCACCAGGTGTTGTGTACAAGTTAACATTCCCATCGTTATTTATACCTCGCTCCCACTTTTTATTTGGTCAAACCTTCCTACACTTAGGATCAAAACCAAAATCCCCTCTCGATTCTTTCCATGAACGAGAGGTTCACATATTGAACGATCAAACCTTTAAACAGTTAGGATCGTCTCAAACTCTCATTTGGTCAAACCTTTAAACAGTTAGGGCCAAAGCCAAAATCCCCTCTTGATTCTTTCCATGAACGATGGGTCCACATATTAAACGATCAAACCTTTAAACAGTTAGGATCGTCTCAAACTCCCATTTGGTCAAATCTTTAAACAGTTAGGGCCAAAACCAAAATCCCCTCTCGATTCTTTTCATGAACGAGGGGTCCACATTTTGAACGATCAAACCTTTAAATGGTTAGGATCGTCTCAAACTCCCATTTGGTCAAACCTTTAAACAGTTAGGGCCAAAGCCAAAATCCCCTCTCGATTCTTTCCATGAACGAGGGGTCCACATATTGAACGATCAAACCTTTAAACAGTTAGGATTGTCTTAAACTCCCATTTGGTCAAACCTTTAAACAGTTAGGACCAAAGTCAAAATCCCCTCTCGATTCTTTCTATGAACGAGGGGTCCACATATTGAACGATCAAACCTTTAAACAGTTAGGATCGTCTCAAACTCCCATTTGGTCAAACCTTTAAATAGTTAGAGTTAAAGCCAAAATTCCCTCTCGATTCTTTCCATGAACGAGAGGTTCACAAATTGAACGATCAAACCTTATAACAGTTAGGATCGTCTCAAACTCCACTCGGTCAAACATTTAAACAGTTAGGACCAAAATCGGAATCACCTCTCGATAAATGAAAGGTTTCCACACATTCTGCACTCAGTCAAACCTTTAAACAGTTAGGACCAAAGCTGGAATTTCATCTCGATAAATGAGAAATCCACTTTTAGATTGGATAATCAATCCTTTTAACAGTTAGGGTTATCTAAATCTTCTCGATTCTCGAAGTGGAGATCCCACTCTTAGTTTCACCCTTCAGATTCTCGAAGTGGAGATCATACTGAGTTTCTTTTGTAGCAGGCTTTCTCTCCAGTGTCGGGTTCATCTTTTCACCAAAAAGACGCAACCCATCAACATTTTTAAATCCATGTTTTATACGTAGGGGACGTTATCTCAGTCCCTTATTAGAGATAAGTCTATGTATAACACACATTGCCGGGTGGTACGTTCCTGCAAAAATGACCAAACCTATGTATTCAACATCATAGTACAAAGTCTAAGAGAGTTTATTCTCTTAGCACAACGTTACATGCAGAACGGACTTAAACAATTTGCATGCTAGCCCGATTCAAACGGTAATCGGTAAAGGCTTATCAAATCCGTTGATGGCTGAGGATTTGCCAAAAATCCTATAAGTATTTATTTTGAGTAGGATAAACAATCATAATAAAGTTTAAGCTTTGCCAAACTTAAGGAAGACACAAATTCAGCCCGAAGGCCACCTTTCTTCAAACGGGACAATTGAACCCGCTTCAGACACACGAGGTAGGGTATACTGTCTCGCGCACACAAGACAGCATCAAAAAAGTCTCTCCAGTGATTGTGGTCGTATCAGCTCCAATGACTGGTCCTACAATCAAAATCCCTTTGTGTTTAAGTAAAAAACCAACAAATGTATAATGGTCCATACCAGGAGAAACTCCGTACAGGCAAATGAATCGACATCAACAATTGGTCTTACAGTCTCTACACTTGGGCTTGTCATATCCCAACGGCAGTCAACGCGTTGCAACGAAAGTCTACTCCAGCCAACGTGTCGATAATTCCGTCGAAACAAGACTCAGGATGAAACGTCAGTTCAAGGAATTAATTCAGGGAGTTCAATCGTGACTCAGATACAAACTCCCGACGAAGGTGATTAGTTCAACGTCAATCCAACGACACGAGCTAATTCAAAAATCAACACGTCAGCTTCAGTTCAAGATTTTGACAACGATCAAGCGATAAACGTAATACCGAAAAAATTTCAGCTATCCGACAAAAAAACTAAATAGACTGAAAGTTGAAGAAGTCAATGAATTAACGGCCAGGCGTATCATATCCAAAGTATTCCAGCCTCTTTTATAAAAGAATGAGGCTGAAACACTTTGGAGGGGGTATCTGTAGGCATAAAAAAATTACCTATAGGTTCTCGTACACAGCTCGAGATGAAGAAAAGACGATGAATGTTACTATCCGAGTCAAGGAGGATTATCTGAGTCAAAAGAGATCATCCGATACTGTAGATAAGCTAAAAAGCACACGAAGTAAGTCGGCGAAGCGTACGAGTCTGTGAAACACGCTAAACGATAAAGGAACAACTCAACCGGGAGTTGTGCTTCGTCCACAAAAGGGCGAAGTACTATGTGTGTTTTGCCCACTCCATGAGTGTATTGTCTATGGGAGGTTGTAGAGCTCTTTGCGAGCTTTTCAACGCGTCTTGGATCATCTCATTCCGATATCGGACGAGGGAGTTAGAGCCAAAATACCCGAGACAACACAAACTGTCTCGGAAGTGCGAGACAGTCGCAACTGTCTCGGAACTGCGAGATAATTATGGCTGTCTCGCACCAAATCTGAAGAAGCTCAGAAGACAAAAGTTGTAGATTTCTTCGTCAGCTTTCCAACGCATCTTGGATCATCTCATTCCAATATCGGACGAGGAAGTTAGAGCCAAAATACCCGAGACAACACAAACTGTCTCGGAAGTGCGAGACAGTCGTAACTGTCTCGGAACTGCGAGACAATTATGACTGTCTCGCATCAAATCTGAAGAAACTCAAAAGATAAAAGTTGTAGATCTCTTCGTCAGCTTTTTAACGTATTTTGGATCATCTCATTCTGATATTGGACGAGAGAGTTAGAGCTAAAATACCCGAGACAACACAAACTGTCTCGGAAGTGCGAGACAGTCGTAACTGTCTTGGAACTGCGAGACAATTATGACCGTCTCGCACCAAATCTGAAGAAGCTCAAAAGATAAAAGTTGTAGATCTCTTCGTCAGTTTTTCAACGCATCTTGGATCATCTCATTCTGATATCGGATGAGGGAGTTAGAGCCAAAATACCCGAGACAGTACAAACTGTCTCGGAAGTGCGAGACACACAGCCCTGTCTCGGCCACAGAGTTGCTTACAACACGTTTTTTGACGGTTTTTTGGCTTCATAACTGTTTGAGATCAATCATAAACGTGGGGAGACAGTTACAAACTAAAAATAGGCCCACTAACCTCATAAAAATATGATATTTAAGTAGTGGGATGGCGGTTACAAAAGGGGTTGAGCATTTTTTGGAGCAGATCCAAGATAGCAGAGAGGCTATTACTTGAGCAATTGGGCAGAGATTTTCAAAAGGCTTGGGCAAATTTCAAGAGTTCATCTCCTTTTAACAATTCGGAGGTTCCTTAAGATCTAAGCTTTGACTTGATCTTGAGAAGAGTGTTCATCTTACTTCGATAAGATATTCACTGAAACTATTCTTGCTTCTAAACGAAGGAAGAATCCTCAAATTCTTCACGATTCAATCTGAATTCGTGATTCGGTGGTCCATGGGCTAACGCACCCCCGGCATAGGCAAAGATCCCGCGCAAGCAACGATCCAAACAACGATCCTGCGTTTGTTTCTAGGGAGCTTGTAATTTGATTTTTGTTGTAAAGAGTAGTTTTACAAAGTATGAAGCTCACTCTTTTGTATTCATTGTAATCGTTAAACAGTTATAATGAATTCTACAACAGAACTTGTTCCTGACGCAAACACTTGTCTTTCCCTGCAAGTGTCTACTGGTATTCTAACTCGTCCATGGGAATCTGGAAAAATGTTCCATGTATATAGCTCTTAATCAATCTTAAATTTAGAACTTGGATGGAAGAGGCTAACATGTGATGATTATGAATAACCTGATTTGGGGTGGGGTATAATTTTGGAAATCTAATATCAAAATAATTAATTCAAGAGGAAGATTTGCAGATCTAATATCAAAATAAATTCATTTGAGAGGGGTTCAAGTATTAAAAAAACAATATACACTCTATTCTTTAATAAACCTAGAGCTATATGCTCAGCATTCCTCATTCTCTTTTCATGGGATATTGCTGAATATTTTTGAATTTTCTGAAAAGTTTTGAAACCTGAACCTAATGATTCCCTAATGCAAACTTATAAACGACTTGCATGTTAACTGAAAATAGACTTGTCATCTAGGTACAAAGAGTGCTTTCCATGACAAGTTGACTCAAGTCTATCTGCTTAGTTGTATGCCTGGACCTACGATTTAATGAAGCCATTCATGGAACAGCATCATCAAAGTTTATCTATAACCCGCCAACTATTTGGGAAAGGCCTGACATTTTTTGTTAGTGGCTATATCCTTTTTTGTGTTTAACACATTTGTACTTCTAATCAAATCTGTCCCCCACAATTTATATCCATCGTCTTTTCAGCTCTTCTTTTTGCCAATAAACCTTGCCTTTTTGCCAATAAACCTTGCCGGCTGGCAGTAAGAGAGACACTTTCATATGCGAATATTTTAACACTTCAAATATTTTGTGCCAGTGCTCGTGAGCATGGGTTACATATAGATGAGGTATTCAGAAGTCTTGGAGTACCAAAGAACATGATCCTGTAATACTCTCACTCTTGCTCCTTATTCACTTATTCGTTCATTTTAGCTGATTATTTTCCTTTTTACCAGGGAGGCAATAAACTACCTTGTTGATGTGGGCCACATATATTCAACTATTGATGAATACCACTTCAAGTCAGCAAGCAGTGGTCATCAGTAACTCATCCCTCAGCCAGTTTAAAAGTGCACAAACTCACACAACACAGTAAAACTACAAATAAAGGCAAAAATAGATGCTTGTGAAAATATTTTACACTGTTGAAAATTTCCAGCCACTTGTCTTGTACAAAGTACAAACAGAGAACAGTTCTCCTCGTGCTCCAAGTCTGTTAAATGCGTAGAAAAGGTATGAAACTGGCGAGTAGCAGTCAAAAAGAATTATCGATTTCTTGGGCATTCATTGTGAATATAGACACTGAACAATTCATAGCATATACCTTGATATTTTTCCTCAGATATCTTCTTCTATCTTAGTTCACGCTATGGACTTGACTTCTCTACTAAACTGTCTTGTTCTTTTTGTCCGGTGTATGTAACATAACCTTTGTGCAGTAAAATTATTAGAAATATTTGAGAAATTGAGTGGTAGGCTTTTGATCCACAAAGCTATTAGGTGTCTAAGGATGCTAATCATTAGCAACTCTTATCATGTGGTAGGTCTACCTGAGTTTTGCTTTAAGTTTGGATGGCTGGGACCAAATCCACTGTGCTTTAGGTGCAAAATTGAGTTCTAAATTGCACCAACTTACATTTATTTAGGTTTGATAATTGAGTGATAGTTGGTGATAACATTTTGTGAAGTGAATGGGCTATCCACGTGTCTTGTTGGTCCTAATTAATCAGTGATGAGAAGATGGAAGTATTTCTGGATAGGGATAGAGAAGTAAGTCAGCAAGTACTCTCATATTGAAACTTATCGTTTGCTTTATTCTTTCCAAGCTCCTATTTTTTGAATAATCATTTGTGGAAACTCTCTGGCATTCTTTACTTGTGTTTTGTCTGCTTGATGCCAGTCAACAAATATAAGATATATTTGACCACATGACACTGTTTGTTAGCATTACTTACATACATAATGTCTCCAGGCTTCAATAACTTTCTATGTTAGACTTACAAAACCATCTATAGTTTTTTGAGTTTTATACATATCTTGTTGCTGAATGAAGAAGGAATCTGTGGATAATTAAAAGTTTAAGTGTGATGTGGGAATCAAAGTGAATCAGAAGTTAATTACCTTGTAAATTTGATTCCTGATATCTTATAATGCTTCCTGGTTCTTTCTTTCTTTCTTTTTTAATAATCAGCACGGGAACAGACAATTTGTCTTGTTTCGGTGAACCAGCCGTGGTAACCTTTTTTTTTTTGGCTGTCCCAATAAATTGTACTAAATAAAGCAAGTGTGTGTTTTTTAAATATAGAAGTCATGTATAGCATTTGCTCAATGAAATCAATCACAATTAGAAGGTTAATTGCTCAAGTTAATCTATACATGTGTACATATTCTGAGAAGGACAAATGTATGTGTCCATAAAGTTAGAATAAAGCGTGCCATTCTAATGTTCTTGAGAGTTCAAACGTTGCATTTTGGATTCTTGATACTTGAGAGTTGAGACTTCTATCATTTAACAAGTAAACTAGTTTAATCATAAGATTCCTGATGATAGGGTTTTCAAAGAAAAAAAAACAGGTTCTTGGTTGTTTAAGGTGGTGGGTTTGACTGAGCTTTCAATTTGTTCTTCATCGGTTTAAGCTGAACCATTTTGGCTTATTATCAGACCCTAATTTTCTGTTACTCTGGTTTGATTTAGTTAGGCTATAATAGGCAGCCAGGAGCTTTCTGCATTATTACATTAAAGGGTGGTCGTAAACTATAGAAACTTCTTGTTAGAATACAAAACTATAACCATCAATCCTCGTCTTAACTTTATAGTTTTGGTGCATTTGTTAGGTCCTTTAAGATGGTATCAAAGCAACCCAATTCTGAAAATTGACCACGTTGCGTGAGTCCAACTTTTCGGCCCTTAAAAAAGGTGTTCAACCAGTGATGGCATTGTTAGAATATTAAAATAGAGTTTTAGTGTAATTGTTGAGGGACTTTGACACTTCCCTTGCAATATAAAATTTTTTGTCGGAGTATGTTAGGTTGAGGGTGGATACCAACCTACGACGGCGGAGGAGCTCCGACGAGCTCCAGGAAGACGCAGGCGAGCGCTGGCGAAGTCGACGGCGAACCCCCAGGCGAGTTCGAGCCCCGCAGTCGAAGACGCGACCCTCGAGCGAGACGCGACCCTCGAGCGAGATGCGACCTTCGAACGCGTACCTGACCCTCGCGTTGCTCAAGCACGAAGAACGCGACCCTCGGCATTTGTCGACTCCGACCATCGCGTCTGCCTCCCACCTCCGCGTCCGAGCGGATCGCTGGCGACAGGCTGTCGCCAGCCTGTCCAAATCCCGCCTATTTAAACCCCCGATGCCCTAGGGTTTTGTGTGCCGAAACTTCTCCTCCCCGACATTCTCTCTGGCGGCGGGAGAAATCAACGCAGCAGCGTTCTAAAGCCCTAAAATCACAGCAGTGATTTTCTAATTAATCCCCAGCTTTTTCAACGGTGGTTGAGGGGGTATTTAAGGAGAGAGAGAGAGAAAAGAGAAGTGGGGTTTTATTGTGGACATTCACTTATTCTCAAGTGATAAATTGAACGGGTTTATTCCCTTTAATCATTAACACTGTTGCTACAGTGTTCATCTGAGAAATCCCAGTTTAGGGATTTGCTCCTAAATTTGTAATTTCTTGTTTGATTAAATAAGAAATTTTCTGTGTGGCTCCCGAGGACGTAGGCAGTTGCCGAACCTCGTTAAAACTTGGTGTACTGTTCTCTATTCTGCGTTTCTGTGCATTAGGGGTTTCAGCGTTAAATTCCCAACAACTGGTATCAGAGCGTGAAACGATCTAGAGGAAGTCAGATTCAAGTGGGAGTCATGGCCGCAGATGAAGGGAAAATAAGACTTGAGAAATTTGATGGAACAGATTTTGGATTCTGGAAAATGCAGATAGAGGACTATCTGTATCAGAAAAATCTGTATCAACCTCTCTCGGGGAAGAAGCCGGAGGGTATGAAGGAAGAAGATTGGAATCTTCTGGACAGAAAAGCCCTCGGGGTTATTCGTTTGACGTTAACCCGCAATGTTGCTTTTAACATTGCAAAGGAGAAGACCACGGCGGGTCTTATGGTAGCACTCTCAAATATGTATGAGAAGCCATCAGCCTCCTCCTCTTCCGATCTCTCTCTGGCGGCGGCGGCGATCTGCCCTAAAATCGCAGCAGCGATTTTCCCCTTTTAATCCCCAGCTTCAACGTTGTTTGAGGGGAGATTAAGAAAAGAGATTTAGAGAGAGAGAGAGAGAATTAAGAACAGAGGATTATATATATTGTGGGTTTCTTCATCTATTCTCAAGTTGAGAATTGAAAGGGTTCATACCCTTAATTATTAACACTGTAGTTACAGTGTTTATTTGAGAAATCCCAGTTTAGGGATTTGCTCTTGATTTGTAATTTCTTGTTTGATTAATAAGAAATTATCTGTGTGGCTCCCGAGGACGTAGGCAGTTGCCGAACCTTGTTAAATCTTGTGTACTGTTCTCTATTCTGCGTTTTTCGTTGCATTAGGGATTTCGGCCTTTAAATTCCCAACAACTGGTATCAGAGCGTGAAACGATCTAGAACAAGTCAGATTCAAGTGGGAGCCATGGCCACAGATGAGGCAAAAATGAGACTTGAGAAATTTGATGGAACAGATTTCGGATTCTGGAAAATGCAGATAGAGGATTATCTGTATCAGAAAAATCTGTATCAACCACTATCGGGGAAGAAGCCAGATTCTATGAAGGAAGAAGAGTGGAACCTTCTAGATAGACAAGCCCTCGGAGTTATCAGATTGACGTTGACTCGCAATGTTGCGTTCAACATAGCAAAGGAGAAGACCACAGCAGGTCTTATGGCAACTCTCTTAAATATGTATGAGAAGCCATCAGCCGCGAACAAAGTTCATTTGATGCGGTGGTTATTCAATCTGAAAATGGCGGAAGGCGCGTCAGTAGCACAACACCTCAATGAACTTAATACGGTTACAACCCAATTGAGTTCAGTTGAGATTGAGTTTGATGAAGAAGTTCGGGCGTTGATATTGTTGTCTTCCCTACCAGAGAGTTGGAACGCTACAGTCACAGCTGTGAGTAGCTCGTCGGGAAAGAAAAAGTTGAAGTTCGGCGACGTTCGTGATTTGGTTCTCAGTGAGGAGATCCGACGGCGAGAGACTGGTGAAGCTACAACCTCTTCAGTATTGCATACAGAGTCAAGAGGTAGAAATTCAACCAGAGGAAACGGACGAGGAAAATCAAACTTCAGAGGTAGATCAAAGGACAGGAGGTCCAAATCAAGGAATCCAAGCAACAGCTCGAAGGCTATCGAGTGTTGGAATTGTGGAAAGACCGGGCATTACAAGAATCAGTGCAAGAGTGCACAGAAGGAGAAGGAGGCGAAGGCAGAGGTGAATGTCACCTCCACTTCAGGAGGAGACGACGCATTGATATGCTCTTTGGAGAGCAAGGAGGAATCTTGGGTGTTAGATTCAGGAGCGTCGTTCCACGCTACTTCTCAGAAAGAATTCTTCGAGAAGTATACCCCCGGAAAACTTGGATACGTATATCTTGGTGATGATCAACCGTGTGCTATTGTGGGCAAAGGCGTGGTGAAAATTAAGTTGAACGGGTCAGTATGGGAGCTGAAGGATGTCAGGCATATTCCCGACCTGAGAAAGAATTTAATATCCGTAGGCCAGTTGGCTGGCGAAGGTTATACCACGACCTTCCATGGAGATGATTGGAAGATCTCAAAGGGCGCAATGACGATTGCCCGAGGCAAGAAGACTGGTACCCTGTATATGACAGCAGGTGCACGTTGTTTGATCTCAGTTGCAGCAGGCAATGAGACTTCAAAGCTGTGGCACCAGAGACTCGGTCATATGAGTGAAAAGGGGATGAAGATTATGCACACAAAGGGAAAACTCCCAGGACTGCAGTCAGTGGAGATGGATATGTGTGAAGAATGTATACTTGGAAAGCAGAAGAGAGTCAGCTTTCAGACAAGTGGCAGAACCCCCAGGAAGCAGAAGCTAGAGCTCGTTCACTCAGATGTGTGGGGACCAACAACCACCGCGTCCATTGGTGGAAAACACTACTTCGTGACTTTTATCGATGATCACTCTCGGAAAGTGTGGGTCTACTTTCTGAAGCATAAGTCAGAAGTATTTGAGGCTTTCAGGAGATGGAAAGCTATGGTCGAGAATGAGACCGGTCTGAGAATAAAGAAGCTCAGGACCGACAATGGCGGTGAGTATGAAGACACCGGATTCAAGAAGTTCTGCTATGAGCACGGGATCAGAATGGAGAGAACCGTGCCCGGCACGCCTCAGCAAAATGGTGTAGCTGAGCGGATGAACCGAACGTTGACAGAGAGAGCCAGAAGCATTCGAGTACAATCAGGCCTACCGAAGCAGTTCTGGGCAGAAGCGGTCAACACAGCAGCTTACTTGATCAACCGAGGTCCATCGGTTCCATTGGAGCACAGAATACCAGAGGAGGTATGGTGCGGAAAGGAGGTAAAACTCTCACATCTTAAAGTTTTCGGTTGTGTAGCTTACGTGCATATTAGTGATCAAGGCAGGAATAAGCTTGATCCCAAGTCAAAGAAATGCACTTTCATCGGCTATGGTGAAGATGAGTTCGGCTACCGCATTTGGGACAACGAAAACAAGAAGGTGATCCGGAGCAGAGATGTGATATTCAACGAGAAGGTGATGTACAAGGACATGCACAAGACTGACGACTCAGAGAGCGAGTCCACATTTATAGATGCAGATGATGTCCCGAGTAACCTCTCGGAAGAACCCAATGCAGAGGGTCCTCAGCAAGAAGAGCCTGTTGGACAAGATGGTGCGCAGGAGCCCGACGCACCAGCTCCGATATTAAGAAGATCTTCTCGTCCTCCTGTACCCAACAGGAGATACATGAACTATCTGTTGTTGACAGATGGTGGGGAGCCTGAAAGCTTTGATGAAGCTTGTCAGTGTGGAGATGCGAGCAAGTGGGAGCTTGCAATGAAAGATGAGATGAAGTCTCTCATATCAAACCAGACGTGGGAACTAGCTGAGTTGCCCACGGGTAAGAAGGCACTCCACAACAAATGGGTGTACCGGGTGAAAGAGGAGCAGGATGGTTCCAGAAGATATAAAGCCCGGCTAGTTGTCAAAGGTTTCCAGCAGAAGGAAGGAATTGACTACACCGATATTTTCGCTCCCGTGGTGAAGCTAAATACTATCAGGACCGTGATGAGTATTGTAGCAATTGAAGATCTTCATCTCGAGCAGTTAGACGTGAAGACGGCGTTTCTTCACGGAGATCTAGAAGAGGAGATATACATGCATCAACCAGAAGGTTTCTCAGAAGAAAAGAAGAAGAACCTGGTGTGCAGACTCAAGAAGAGCTTGTATGGCCTGAAACAAGCCCCAAGACAGTGGTACAAGAAGTTTGACGGTTTTATGCACAAGGAAGGTTTCCAGAAGTGCAACGCCGACCACTGTTGCTACTTCAAAAGATATCAGTCCAGCTATATCATCCTACTGCTGTATGTTGATGATATGTTGGTTGCAGGAGCAGATATGGAGGATATCAAGAGTTTGAAGCAGCAGCTGTCAAAGGAGTTTGACATGAAGGACTTGGGTCCAGCGAAGAAGATCCTTGGAATGCAAATCACGAGAGATAAGAAGAGAGGTCTCTTGCAGTTATCTCAGACGGAGTACATCAACCGTGTTTTGCAGAGATTCAACATGGGCGACGCCAAGCCTGTGAGCACACCCTTGGCTAGCCATTTTCGTCTGTCGAAGGATCAGTCTCCTCAGTCAGAAGAAGAGAAAGAGAGTATGGCTCAGGTACCTTACGCCTCAGCTATCGGAAGCTTGATGTACGCTATGGTCTGTACGAGACCAGACATTGGCCATGCAGTGGGAGTGGTCAGCCGGTTTATGTCGAATCCAGGAAAAGCTCATTGGGAAGCGGTCAAGTGGATTCTGAGATATCTACGAGGCACCACACAGAAGTGTTTGCACTTTGGTAAGGGAGAGGTAGAAGTGCAAGGGTACGTAGATGCAGACTTTGGAGGTGAAGTTGATCACCGAAGAAGCACCACCGGCTATGTATTCACCGTCGGAACTACAGCTGTTAGTTGGATGTCACAGGTAGAGAAGATTGTTACCCTATCCACTACAGAAGCTGAGTATGTTGCAGTGACTGAAGCCAGTAAAGAGATGATATGGCTTCAGGGTTTGTTGACAGAGCTGGGATTCAAACAGGAGAAGAATGTTTTGCACAGTGATAGTCAGAGTGCGATACACTTGGCGAAGAATTCAGCATTTCATTCCAGAACGAAGCATATTGCGCTTCGGTACCACTTCATCAGATCCCTGTTGGAAGATGACGTGTTAAAACTGGAAAAGATTCCAGGAAGTAAGAATCCAGCAGATATGTTAACAAAGACGGTGACAGTTCAGAAACTGGAGTTGTGCGCAACTTCAGTTGGCCTTCATGCATAGATGATGAAGGCGGAGCCACACAGGAGAGGAGCTTGATGAGATAGCTCGTTGCCGTCGGTTTGGTCTCCAAGTGGGAGATTGTTAGGTTGAGGGTGGATACCAACCTACGACGGCGGAGGAGCTCCGACGAGCTCCAGGAAGACGCAGGCGAGCGCTGGCGAAGTCGACGGCGAACCCCCCAGGCGAGTTCGAGCCCCGCAGTCGAAGACGCGACCCTCGAGCGAGACGCGACCCTCGAGCGAGACGCGACCTTCGAACGCGTACCTGACCCTCGCGTTGCTCAAGCACGAAGAACGCGACCCTCGGCATTTGTCGACTCCGACCATCGCGTCTGCCTCCCACCTCCGCGTCCGAGCGGATCGCTGGCGACAGGCTGTCGCCAGCCTGTCCAAATCCCGCCTATTTAAACCCCCGATGCCCTAGGGTTTTGTGTGCCGAAGCTTCTCCTCCCCGACATTCTCTCTGGCGGCGGAAGAAATCAACGCAGCAGCGTTCTAAAGCCCGAAAATCACAACAGTGATTTTCTAATTAATCCCCAGCTTTTCAACGGTGGTTGAGGGGGTATTTAAGGAGAGAGAGAGAGAAAAGAGAAGTGGGGTTTTATTGTGGACATTCACTTATTCTCAAGTGATAAATTGAAAGGGTTTATTCCCTTTAATCATTAACACTGTTGCTACAGTGTTCATCTGAGAAATCCCAGTTTAGGGATTTGCTCCTAAATTTGTAATTTCTTGTTTGATTAAATAAGAAATTTTCTGTGTGGCTCCCGAGGACGTAGGCAGTTGCCGAACCTCGTTAAACTTGGTGTATTGTTCTCTATTCTGCGTTTCCGTTGCATTAGGGGTTTCAGCGTTAAATTCCCAACAGAGTATTCTCTTGTTATTTTATTTTTTATTTTTTAAACAAATATTGGTATTCCTTTGAAGTAGTCATTCCACCGTCCAATCTTCCATTTTACTGATGAGTTAAACTTCACTCCTGGTACTCATGTTCCACAAGTAATTTTCCAATGCTGAAATTAGTTCAGCGGTGAGCTTCAACTGTTAAACCTTGCAAGTAGCTGTTTGAAAAGAACTATAATGAGAGATTTGAGATTTTTTATCTACTTAACAACAATAACACATGGTCTCTTTTGGTAATGGGTTAAGTGATGGCGTTAAGGAGTTATAATTCCTACTTAAATTGCCAAAACACACAAAAACACATTGAATAAAAAGTGGGTTAAGCTGTCTTAATTTATTAACATAAAAATAGATTGAAAATAAAACAAAAATTAGTATAATTCTTACCCTTAATGAATAAACCAATTTAATCATTCTCTGTTTGAAGCAGTAGCTTGTCTTGTTTCATACTCCCTCTTTCAATGAAGAGGTTTTCTTTTTGAAATACTAATAAGATGAAGTCTTGTGAATCTAATAGATATATAGGAAGATTTCCGGATAAACATTAGTGCAGAGGTTTTTAATTTTAATTTTTTTTGGCAATTTATTTATGAATCCTTCTCTAGTATATTTATGTCCAGTTAGGATCAGGCATCTGCTTATTATTAGAATCCCCAATTCAGACCTAAACTTTCTCGGTTTGCTTCATTAACATAAAGAAAACATCAACCTACATCCACTTGGTCACCTTCATCCCCTTCTGTGGGTAAAGTTCACAGGCCAATCAATCAAAAAGAGATCAAACTTCCCTTCACATGATTCCCCACAAAAAAGCATACAGTGATGTTTACTGTTTCTATGTTGCTTGATGCCATAATTTCTTTTTGGAGCCTTTAATTCTAACAACTACCAACCACCTTTGGGAGCTAAGGTAACGTAGCTAATATACAAGAGCTCTACAGGCGATAGCTACTCCAATAGTGATTTCCTTAGCTCAACTAATCCTTCATCTTTCCATACAAAATTCACTTGGAACTATCTCAAACTGCCACAGTTTAATAATACAAGAAAATCAAGACGCTACAAATTCCACTTTTGCTACAAAATACATCTGTACATCATCCCCTCTCCCTCATAACAAGGATTAAGGTACCAACTCAACCCACTCCTGCACGTTATTAACAAGCGTAAACTATATAAGACATATCATATGGTTAGGGGCTCTACGTTGAAGAAAATGATGATGAGGGCGTATCACACTCATCGAGATTGTCGCTATCGTACTCATCGAGATCATCAAAGCCCCAGAACTCTTCCTCCTCCTCCTCCTCCTCCGGCATCTTCCAGCTGTCAGGCAACATCTCACCATCTTCAATTAGATCCAATACCTGCCACCATTCTTTTGGTTATGACAACAGCACTTGATCTTATTTTTTTAACAGGAAACCAACTTAATAAGATTAGGTTATCATTAGTAGTAGATACACGTATTGTGGTGACCCAATCTTTGTCTCAACCAGATTTCTAACCTACCAAGCTAAAAAGGCAGCATGAGGCTATGAGCTTACCGTGACTCACGAGAAATGAAATGGTATAAGGCCATTTTTAAATCAACAAACTTATAAAAGAACTATCAGCAACATTTTAAATGACAGAGAAAATTTTACATGGTTTTAGCAATCATGTGACCAAGTGGTCCCTATAATTCTCATGTTGATAGATTTAAGATTGATTGTTGAGCCGTGTAGAATATCTATTTTGATGCCCAAGGCGTTTGTAGGAACAAGAAAATTGCCCTCATAATTATTTAGCCCTTCAAGGTTTCCTCTGCTGCATTATTAAATCATCGTCAGGACCTAAAAGGTGAAAGCAGTAGTTTACCAGAATCAGGAAATCCACTGGACTGAAAGTTTTACTACCCTCTGTCCTTTTCTTTTGGTGTCTTGAAGTCAATACGGGTAAACCACATTTGTTCATAGACGTTGATTTCTTAGGTTTATTTAATGAAATCATTTTCTATATGTATATTTAATTTGTTGCAAGCTACCTTGAATTATAATTTTATTAGCAAAGCCTCCCCCCTAGGAAAGCATCCTTTCTCTGTGAAGCATTAGAATTGGACAATATGCTGTTGAGCTAATTATAAGCAAGAAAAACACATGTTTTATAATCAACAACTCAACAATTTGAAGGCTATTTTAATGCAAATAGTAATTAGTATGTTGTCAATTTTATTCTGTCAACGAGACAAAATGAAATACTACTTGCTCTTTGGACATCTTCCAAGAAAAGTTTCTGAGAACTTTACGAGATATAATTATTATCTTGAATAACTTAAAAAAGGAAAATGAAAATTGTACTACAAGTCCTATACTACTCATTGTATAGAACTCTGTTCTTCTTGACCTTGATTAAATTTTAATAAAACCTCAAAATTATTAACTGTTTAATTGGAAATTTTTGAATGAGTATTCAATACAGTGAGGATAGTACCTCAGACATTAAAGGCCTCCATGTTGCAGTTGCTCTGATACAGAGAGAAGCAATGAAGGTGAGCCTCTTCAGTTGCCCACCATCATAATCTTCTCCTAGTCTTGGATCCACTAGCATGTGTATTGTGCCATCATTCAAATAGGGCTTAGCCTGTTAAAGTTCACTATTTAGCTATAGACATGATCACATTTAGATGGTTCGTGAAAAATTGCATATGAAGCTTCTAAACAACTTTGGCTTACCCAACTAAGCAAGCTCTTGTGATAACCATCAACTGGTTTCTTCCCTGAGATGAGCTCCAGGAGGAAGACACCAAATGCAAACACATCAGTCTTCTCATCGACGATCCCATGCATGAAATACTCTGGTGCCAAACACCTGATCGAATTTATCACATAAAATTTTCAAAACTTACGTCAGAAATCTATAGCTATGAGATTGTGCCAATTTTATACGATAACAAATTTGAGGACTACAAACCCGAATGTGCCTTCTATAGGCGCGATGGCACGATGAGTCCACTCTGAAGGTAGCCATCTAGCAAGCCCAAAATCCGATATCTGACATGTATGTTTTGATTTTGTTTAATACGTCGGGGGAAAAAAAAAGAAATTATCAATGAAGTTTTGGTTAATGGCAATACCTGGGGCTCAAAATTGTTAGTGAGAAGTATGTTGGAAGCCTTGATGTCCCTATGAATGATTCTTCTCTGGCATCCTTTGTGCAAATAATGCAGTCCCCTTGCGGTTCCGACTGCAATCTTATGCCTCAGTTTCCAAGCCATTGGTGGTGAATTCTCATCTATAATGCATACACGAGACAGTCAACAAAACTGTTGGATAATTTTTTTTATACTTCATTAAAGCATTAAGGTAAAATTACCATGTAGATTAGAGGAGACAGAGCCAAGGGAAGAGAACTCAAAGACCAAATGAAGGTCTTTGTCAATGCAACAACCAAGGAGAGCTGAGACATTTGGATGCTTGACATGGCCAACAGTCCCAAGCTCAGTCAAGAACTCCTTCTCCCTTTGCTCATCAGTTGAAGCACTAGTCAATTTCTTCACTGCAATTGTCTGCCCATCTCCTAAAACTCCTTTATAAACCTCAGCATACCCTCCTCTTCCAACCAAATTATCTGCCCAAATTCAACCCATAACAAGCCAAAAGATGAGATTTTGAGACATGGGTTTTGTTACCAGTGAGGTTTATTGATGTTATATTGTATAATTACCTCGGTGAAAGCCATTGGTTGCCTGGTGTATCTCTTCAAAAGAGAAGCATCTCCAACTGGGTTTTTGAGGAGGCTGACTGATTACAGTCTCTTCCTTAACCTCTGCTTCTTCTTCCTCTTCTTCTCCCTTGGCTCTCCGGCCGATGGAGACAGAGAACAGGCGCTTCAGGCTCCTGCTCCTGAGATAAAGCTGGCGCATTCTAACAAAAATGTCCAAATGCTCTGGCGATCTTTGGAATCCAATGTGATAAATATTGATATAAATATAGATATATCCACCCCTTTGTTTTATATGTTGGTTTCAAATGAATTGTACTTTGATATAAGAGAAGGAAGATCGAATCAGAGAGCAAAGGAGGAAGTTTAATGAAGTGAGAGAGGCCAAAGGAGGGGTCCAAACGGAGCAGAGTGAGGCCATTTATTATGGGGGAGGATTTGAACAGTTATATATAGAGCTTATTGCATTTTATAGGAATTTTGCTTTGTTTTTTGAATACCAATCGGGTCTCCTCTCTGTGTGCCAAGTATTCCTCTGAGTACAGAAAACTGACGTACGTTTTAGTTTTTTTAAATTATTATTAGTCTTGAAGGAGTTTTTATGGACGCCAAATGCACAGCTGTCAGCACGCTCATCAAAGAGAGAGTTTTAGGGGGTCATTAATCTCGGCCGTTTGATGAAAAGGAAATTGGATTAAATTTTGATTTTAGTTTGGGACTTCTGGGGTGTAAGGAGAGGAACTGATCAAATGATCATATGGTTTGAATTATTGAACAGTTGGAATCAGAGACATTATTAGAGAGTTTGTGGTTGGATTTTTAATGGAGGGCCCTGAATTTTGATGGGTTTTTTTGTGTTGAATCATTGGAGGATCTAGTTGTCCATGGACCATTGGACACATTGAGAGGTCTTGTTTGGCAGTAAGACATGAAAGTGCCATAAAATGTTGTGAGCTTAAATCCAATCACAAAATAATGTGACAACACTAAAGATTTTTTTCCCCCAAAAGGGTTAACGTGCTTAAGTATTCATTAAAAAAATGACATTTTTACAGGGACCCCAAATAAGGGATCTACGAGGGGGACATGTGAGCTGTCCCCCTCCGGTTGGATCATGAACAATGCATCATCCAACCGGAGGGGGACAGCTCACATGTCCCCCCCTTGGGTCCCCTATTTGGGGTCCTCAGGGCATTAATCTTAAAAAAAAAGATGAAGGAAAGAAACTTCAATATTTTCTTTAATACCCAACTCAATGTTACTTGCTAACTCCTTTCAGTAATTTGAGCATTTAGTAAAGAGTTAACCAGTGTTTAGCACTCTAAACACTTGCTAACTAAATATATGGACCAAGTGAATCTCAAGATAGAGCAAAATATTAGCACAAAAATTAGAACATAGTTAAATAGAATAATGTATTTAGGTACTATTAAATCGTTGCAAGAGATAAGAGGGTAGGATTCCAGCCGCATCAGGATTATTCTTAGGAAAGGTGGGGAAACCTACGATGAACTGGCCAACTTGCTCATTATTCACATGAAAAATAGCACATCAACAAGAAACTAATGCCGTTAATTGAATCCTTTTTTAAGTATGAATACTTCCAAATTATAGGGAAAGGAGCTACTTAAGAATTGGTCGGGAATAAAACGAGCTTAGCTGAGCTCATACATGAGCTTGAGTTTGTTGTGGCACTGGACATAAGGCTTTTCAACGGCCTGTTTTCAGGCTTGACGTACCTTACAAAATAGGGAGCTCTCTATAGAAAGTAATATGAAAGCATTTACACTCTGATAAGCATTTTGTTACAAAATTCAAAATCAGTACAATCAATATGATATTATTACAGCCATCAATATTGTACTAGAATAATTATTGATATATTTGAGCCTCGTAAAGGAGGAATGAAATGTCAAAACTACACACTGTTTGGCATATCTATGGTTTAGAACAACCCGCGTACGTGATATGAAGTCATTAATCCTGATTTGTATACTTCCTTAATTTATAGAGGGCCATCCATGCTATATTTTTTTTCTTAGAATTCCCAGTCTTGTCAAGAACAAGCCGAGAAAACCATTTCTAGAAATGCCGAAGCCCAGTACAAATATAATAATCTATTAAACTCGATGAGAACTAAAATGAGGTTATCTAGTGTCCTACAGCATTGATCCAATGTCCAGAGGATCTAGCTTTTCTTTGTTTTCCTTTCTTTCTTTTTTATTTTATTTTTTGAGGTAAATAGAGGACGCAGCATCTGCCTTTATTTTTATACTACTGAACAGACTTGCCAGTTGCCACTTATCTAGAAAAGCATCTAATTGAAGACCACATATGTTATAATTGAGTAGGCTTAAAAATATAATATCAACCGAAGTCCACATTTGTTGTACATGTGTTGTATGTGCGCACGAGACTCCAATTGTACCTATATCTTTAGCTAACCAGTTATTTGGAGATTTGATCATTTCAACCAGTTATTTTTTTAGTGCTAACTTCTACATATTTAGCTTTTACGGGTACTTTTCTTATTATACTTCTTAACTAGGACGTTGATTCAAAAAAGAACATGGCAGATATACTTTTGTCCTTTTTCATATTAAGAATTGTCACCATCAATCATGCATGCTTTGAACTCTTATTAGTAAAATAGGAAAGAATATATATATATATATATATATATATATATAT